GATGTGTACAAAAAGGGATGAGCAAGCTCTATTTCCCAGGAAAGCTGAGCTCCTTTAGTGCATGCTGGAAAATGATGAAGCTTTTCCAGCTGTGGTACACTGCAATCAGGAAGGATGGCTTTGTGATTGGCTGCAAACTGAACACTTTTGAAGGCCACCAGAGAGTCTAGGAGATCATCTAATTATTGGGGTTCTCTATGTTATTGTAGGGTCTTTAACCTACAATTTAAAGCACCTTGAGACACCTGTTGTTGTGATTTAGAGATATATAAATAAAATTGAATTGAATTAAATATTCATAAGGTTGATTAGACACTGTGCTGTGCTGACTGTTACAGGTCCCTTTGGAGTGAATCACGGCATAGAGTTACACGCAGATGTGATAGAATACGCCTACCAGAAGCTCGACTCCTTCATTAAAACCAGCGACAGTTTTGACAAGTAGGTTTCTTGACTTGTCAGCAGCATTTTTTTAATCTCCTCCATGGCTTGTTGTGCATTGCTGCTCTCTCACTTCAGATTTGAGTTCTGTGAGCCATCCTTCGTGGTGGGAAACTGCTTGGAGATCCCTCCAGAGAGCCGTCAGTATGACAGGGTGTACTGCGGGGCCGGCGTGCAGAAAGAGCATGAGGATTATATGAAGAACCTGCTCAAGGTGGGGGGCATCCTGGTGATGCCTCTTGAGGAAAAGGTTTGTGGTCTGTCTGAGTCTCCATGGTATTTTATGTTACTTTTTAAAATAAAAGTGTAACTGGAAATATTCAAGAGATAATCTCTATAAATAAATATCTGCATGTAGTAATGTCACCCTCGCTTTTGGAGCTACAGTAGTGATTACAGGAACTGCAGTTTTTGGCACACAAACTGATAATATGAACTCTTCATGTTACTGAATTCAATCAGATGAAAAAAAAATCATTTATACACACAAACGTATTAAAGGACTACCCTTCTGTTTTATGCAGTTGACCAAGATCACTCGAACGGGACTGAACAGCTGGGAGACCAAAAAGATCATCTCTGTGTCCTTTGCCCCTCTGGTGCTGCCCAAACACAGCACCAACAGCAAACCCAAGACTGTTCCACTACGTGAGTGTCATTTGTCCTTCTTTCATTTCTCGCCATTTTCATTTCCCCGATGTTGACTTGCCATTCTCAACATTTCAGCCAAGTTTGAGGTGCGATCGTTACAGGAACTGGCCCGTATCTGCATCCGCCACACCCTCAGAGTGACCACGGATGGAGGAGACAGCCACTCCCGTGGCCGAGGCTCCTCGTTCAGCGTTGGCCGGGGCCTGGCGGTGGCAGGGCTTCATAAGTATGGGCCTCGTTTCAAACGCAGGAGGGTCCACCGGCGGCACTGCAACGCCCTCGTCCTGGCCACCCGCCAGGTCGTAGCCAGCAGTGGGATTGGTCCTGCTTCCTTGGACAACAACAACAACCAGGGGGCACGAGGAGCGGAGGAAGAGGAGGAGGCAGGAGAGAGGGAAGTGAGGCAGCAGATGAGAGGGGGCAGGAGGGTGGGGAGGGGATCTGGAGGCAGGGCAGTCGTGGTGGAGGAGGAGGAGACGGTGGAGGAGGAGGATGAAGAGGAGGAGCAGGAAGAGGAGGAAGAGAAGGAGACGGGCGAGCTGCTCCGACCCCAGCCCGCTGTGAATGTCCTGAGAGAAAGGATCCTGGGCCTGCCGCTACCCGAGCCTCTGAAGATGTACCTGCTGTACTACAGAGAGAAATGAGCTGCAGCCAGGTCCCGAGTCAGAGTCCAGAGCTGGAATCTTGCACGGGCTAAAGCCTTGGTTCCAATCCCACCACCTCCTGTACAGGCAGGACGATACACCTTACTGACCCCAAGCTCCGCCACGGGTCTGTTTCTCTCTTTTACCTGCCCTCATAGTCTCCATCATCCATCCTGTTTCTGCCCCCTCTTTTTCCCGCTGCTCTTTACTCGAGTCATTTTCTGGTGCTGTGAAAAGTTAGCTCCGTACGTCCAGGGGAGGGGGAGGGAGGGTTTTCCATTTGTAAACTTTGGACCTCCTTTGGGGTGCAAAAAGACAGAAATTGGTATAAAATAAACCATTTATGAATTAGCTCTGCAGCTCTAATATTAGAAACAGCAGTTTAACAGTCCACTGTTGCCTGAGTACATAGCTTGTACAGGGGCATCTTAGTGGCACTCAGAGAAGATACAGTCACAGGGTAAACAAGACAACCCAAGATCAAAGACTGTAGCAGAGGGATCGGTTTAGCCACAGCCTGGAACTGATTACAGCTGGAGAGTACAGAATGATGGAGTGGAAGCCAGTTTGTCCACAAGCAGCTGTTATCACTGGGATGATGTCATTTTACTAAAGAAGATTCAGATTAAAGGGTATGAGAACTAAATAGATTTTCTTTGGTGATGTTGTAGCTATAGCAGACAACCGCAAGATAGCGTGGCAGGTTTCTTCCACAGATTTCTAAATAAATTTCTAAATAATTTCTAAAGTCCATGATGTAATTTAAGCCCTTAAAGGATAATTGTGGTTTATTTGTTTCTGTTGTGTCTCGACACTAACAGAGATGCTCTAAGAGCCATTTCACTTGCTGTTAATCCCAGTGTAGAGAGAGTAGGCTGCTGCAGAGGATGCTGGTCAGCTACTAGCTTTTTTACACCTGCTTCTAGAATAAAAACACAACACAGAAAAAAAGACGAGTACAATTTGATTTCCAGCCTGACATATTATCAGGTTTTGTTTTGTTTTTTAAACAAGGAAACTGGTTCTAGTCTCCTGCTAATACATGCTAATTGGTCAGCTGAGCATTTCTGCCATGCTTCCTTGATGGATTCAAATGTTTACAAATGATAAGTACATACTAGAAGTCTGGGCTAGCATACAGCTGGTTGTGTTGGCACAACTTTCAGTCAAATCAAAGTCTGAGCCCTCGCTTAATTTTTCAGCCTGAGAGGTTGCTGCTTTGAGGAACCCACAGAACTACAATAACCAGGGGAGCACAGCAAATTTAAATAAAACCAGAATTACCCTTTAAATTATCTTATTTTTAAGGCTGACGCTCGGTCATCTTTTCCCTGTGTTTTAAGAGCCTAGTTGACGATCTACTGGGCTGAGTTTTCCTTTTTTTTTTTTTTCCTTCTTTCTTTCTTTCCTATGCATACGTTTCATCATACATTTGTCTTCGTCTCCTTGGAGATGAAGCTGACTTTAAGCCTCACATTTGCATCCAAAGGGCAGTCTCACTGTTTTTCTCTGCATCCCATTAACCAAAAGAGAATGACCATAAAATATACTAATATTCCATTTTACATAAAAAAACAGCATGATAAAAACACACAAGTAATTATTCTGATGACTGGGTGTGTGCTGTCATGTTCCTTGTAATATTTAGGTTTTTGTGAATGAAATCACTTTTTGAGACTTGAAGTGGTGTGTATGTATGAAACTGGTGTACTTTTTGTTTTGTGAATCATAAGAAAAAGCAACTTTAAACAGGTACTTTAAAATAGAAGATACTTCTTTAATTACCATTTTTCCCACTGTGGACTCTAGTTTGATGGGCATTATTCCTTTGTACTTTACACCTTCTTCTGTGCCAAACTTTAGTTGCATGGACTCAAATCTGGAGTGGGACCAGCAGATCAACAGCAAGTCACTCATCACAAGAAAAATACATTTCTAAAACTACACCACTTCCACTGTTTGGTACGTAAAAATCATCTAAAGCCTTAGATTATTTTTTTTTCCATTTGAAGGTTGTTTGCATTCGAAGAATCGGTTTTGAAGCACAAGGCAATGCAGAAGGCACTCTGCATCAGTAATACAGTGTATCAGATAAATCATGGATGTGACCACAATAACGGGAATCAGAGAAAATAGTTCCAAGTGTAACGTCACGCTTCACTGTGATTTCTTTTTTTCTACTGCTTGATCTACTTTCAAGTACTGTATGTGCACCATTCCTTTATTCAATACAAATACCATTCTGCTGTGCTGTTGTGCTCCTCTGCTGAATGTATACGATCACACACTTTTTTCTCCTTTTCCTAAAGATCACAGTTTGGTGAGACTGACTTGCTTGTTTTTCTGAGTTGAGCTGTAATATTGACCTGCAGATAATAAAGTTCATTATATAAAAGTTGAGTTTCTTGTGGTTTTGTCAGGTGAGTATTGAGCTTATTTTTTTCTTAGAGAAAAAATGTGAAATATGACAATAATCCCAGAGATAACAGGTTTGCAAATATATGAATTTATATAATGTATAATTTAAAGGCGACATGCTAATTTATTGGGGGATTCCACCAGAGCAGGTCCAAAAAACCCTGTTTTACAATCTGGGGAAAACAGGTCACAGCTTTTAATTTAGGGCTTTTCAGTCCCTTTGCTACAGAATTAGAAACCTAAGCACCTATCCATTCAGTCTGCCTTTACAAACACTGAAAGAGTGGGTTTTTCTAACAGCTCACTGAATTTCAGGTAACACGATGCCACTATTGCTGCAAGTCACAAGTGAAATTTCTTCCCCTGCTTGACATCAGCTGTATTATTCCAAAGTGGACACATGCAGCAATCACAGTCCACATAAAGTTACAGAGCAGAATCACTGAGTTCTGAGGCTTATAGCTTGGAAAAGTCAGCAATGGTCTAACTCAAAAATTGCAGTTCCACGCCTCCTCTATAATTAACATAGAAACTGTTAGCCTCATGACAACTTTCCATGGCTGGAGTAATGCATAGGCCTTGTACTGTTGTCTATATAGTATAGTTGCACTGGACCTTTGTGAGAGGCCACAGTCCTTCTGCTTTTCCTGGTCTAAAACAAGTTTTAGCTTTGCCTTTTTAACCCTTCTATTGATTAACCATGTTTAATTTGCATCTACTTAGCGTGCGCGTGTGTGTGTGCGCGTGCGTGTGAATGAAAGAAAATACGGAAAAGTAGAGGAAAGGGTAGGTCCTAATGTGTAACATCACACATTCTTAAATACCCTCAAAGACACACCACAGTACTCCCATTAATTTCTCTTTATTAATGTAAAGACACTAAACAAGTAGAAGACATAGCCAAGTCAGATACATAAGCGCACCAGCAGAATCGTCATATGGCTACAATGACAGCATGTAAAAATTGATCGCAAACAGTCTTGGAGTTTGGATCCAGTGATGTAGCTAAGTGATACAAGATTTTTCAATTAAATTATACATTCACATTTTGTTCACTAACTTTCTATGACCGATGAACACAGTCACAACCAAAACATGTTACTCAAGCGTGCTAAAGTCATGCGTATACAGCGTTTCAATGTTAGCTCTTATTTTAATATTTATGTTTGTGAAGTACAACTTACAGCTAATGTGCCAATACTGAACCGTGACTCTCTCTGCACAGGCCCACATCAACAACATGACCCATGCTTTCAACATCCATGTGGAAAACTCATCAACTAAGTGGGGAAAACAAGCCTGTACCTTGCCGAATACAAAGACACATAATATATATATGATGAAAAAAACAACAACAACATTTCAACATTAAATTACAGAGCTCCAAAAATAAAATAACAACAATCTATTTTCAAGAAAAAGAATGAATAAAAAATTATATCTACATTTGTATATAAAAACATAGGATCGTAATAAGTTAGACTTTTTCAATATGGAAACTCATGTGTTTCTTACAGATCTAAAAGTGACTAAGGATTGCCTTTAAACAAGTTATATTCATTACAGTATCTAAATAGATACGCAGGCATGGGTCAAACAGCAGAGAGATCCTTGAGGTACCCTGTGAGGTCGGACCCCAACTTTAAGTCGGTGGTTTGAAAAGAGGGAGGGGGGGGGAGGGTTTGGGATAAATGTAAATACACGTTAGTTACAATTTTTTTCCTCGTTTTCTCCCCGATTGCCACGACTTAGGAAAACAATTTTCAAAAAAAAAGAAAAAAAAAGTCACATACTTTTATTGCACAGAGGTAGAGTTAGGGCTACCTAGACCTCACAGGGATTGTTAGAGACATAGCCCTGATGGTTTACAAGTCTTCAACTCACAAACTGCACACATCACAAGTATTTTAAAAAGATTTGCCACTTGACCCACGCTTGCTGAAATGACACAGTGGGTTGGAAAACCCTGCATGGTAGCAGCGAGCAGAGAGCGCACCCCTTCACGGTTAAGAATATGGGGAACAGAGAGCAGCAGAGAGGCAGGCTGAACCATGACGGTTAAAACTGCATATTGTCCACCTGGAGGCAAATGTTGAATGGTGTGTCTGTGGGGGTTTAATGTTCTTTTACACTCACACAAATACCAAGGTAGATAAAAATAAAAATCACAAGGAAAATATGTTGACCCTTCATCTGCCCAACTTTGCAGTGGTGCTTATCCAAATGACCCAGGATGCCCCCGACTGAACTTCACGCTCTTAACGATTCTCTGATCCTGGAATGAAGTTGTAGATGAGCCGACGAAGACTGGGAGGCCTGTGTGTGCACGGCTCAAATGAAGGGGCAGAGACTGAGGATGCAGATTAAGGCACCATGGAACCCTGACAAATCTGAGGCACATTCCAGGACAGTACTTTTGACGTGGCTCAGGCTGTAGTTCAAGCTGATCTCTGGCCTGGTGGCCAACTGCTATGTCATGCAACCTAGAAACTGTCCACAGAGGGTACATGTGTCGGGCTCTCCCCCCATGTTCCCCACCTCCCTTGTGTGTCTCAGGAAGAACAGCATCTACTGATTACAGCAACTCGTGACTGAGTCCAGATCTGAAGCATGCTTTATTTTCTGACCTGCACACTTGCAATCATACAGACTTAAAGAAATAGTCCACCATTTGAGAAAGTTTGCTTATGTATTAGTGTGAAATCTGTACGCTACATAAACCACAAGCAGAAACTAAGAAGCTTAGCTTGGCTCAGCTGAAGAACAAAAACAGTTCTAAGGTACTCAATCATAATATGTCGTGTGTATTTTTTTCCAATAAATATTTCATTTTAAATGTGTTTGTGCTCATTTAGAAAGAGTGACATCACATAGTTTGAGCTCTGACTGCTATTAGTAAACCTTTCAGTACTGTCTACAGCACATGCAGCTTTACAGCTGAGGGATGCGGATTGTTCATGGTAAGCTACCAACTAGCTTGTGAATCATCACGACATAAAGTTAGCCACAGTATGGCAAAGGTACTGTGGCACTGCATTACAAGGGAAATGTAACTATTTAATAACTTAAAATGTGCTGACTGGGTAACAAATCCAATAACATCACTTTTAAAGGGAAGTAATCAAAGCAAAAGGCTACAACCATTTCCTCTTTTGACACTGGTCGCATTTTCACATGCAAACAGGCTTCGCTATGTGCATGCCTTTGGTTTCAGAACAGAAAAACATTTTGGTGAGATCCTACTTAAAAGCTCTTTTTGGCTTGAGAATTCAACTTGACTAATAATTTACTTGTTCTTATTGCTTTTGTGTTGTGCTGAGCTAGATTTGACACCGATATTCAGGTTGTACAGAGTAACATCCATTAGGTTGACTGGATTTACCAAAAACAATTAAATGTAAACACCAACATTTTATTTGGTAATTGTAACAGACTAACTGCTTTGCAGTTTGTTTATTATTCAGTTTATAATTTATTAACTAGATTCTATGTCTGCATTTGAATAGTTTTGCCTTTTCAGCTGAGCTGACATGCTCCCTATTAGAAATTTAGTATGAGAATTTTTAAAATTCAAATGGCAGTTTCACCAGCTATGTCTAAAGCCGATCACTTCCTGCTTCACGCTTCAGCGTAAAGGTGGTAAAAATTCTTATCGCTTCTCTTTTGTAAGTGTATTTGCCAAAATGTGCAACTATTCCTTTAAGACTGAAGCCAGCACATGCAGCCACACGCAATCTTAAAGCTCCTCTAAAGCAACAATTAAAGTCGTGGATAAAAACAGAAAACAAACAAACCCATTCAGACAGTGATTCAAAGATGCACAGACATGCAGCCAGATGTACAACACCACATTCACACACACACACAACTATGTTAGTGCCAGGTTCAACAGAGCTCTCAGCCCCCTCCCTCCACTACCACACACACACACACACACATGTCCACACTTACAGTAACATGAAGGACATCTAACACACATCTAGGAAGATATGAAGTAGTGCAAGGGAAGGTTAAGCCCACCTTTACTTTTTTGTACGTTAAGAACATTGTGATGCGTCTCTCTCTCACTCACTCACTATCACACACACACACACACACACACACGAAATTACTGACATTCATCAATATCTAGGGAACTGTAAAAGCAGTGCAGTATAATGTCATGCACAGCTGCTATTGTTTTGTTGTATTCAAGAGATCAGTTAACAGTGGTGTAGTTAAAAACTAGAAAGCAGCATTAATCTTTTTTTATACCCATCCTCTAAAGGTCATTCCCAATGTGGACAGGTGCAAAACAGGTTGGCAGGCAGTGACAGTAGCAGTAGGAACCATCACTTTGGCACCAGGCCACGGGATTGGGGATAAAGAGGGGATCCTGGGCTGGAGGGGCTGTATGAAGAGGTCGGGGTACTCGACTTCTTGCCTGTTCTTGGTCGTCTAAAGGAGAGAAAAGATTGGCATAGAGTTAGAAAACCTTTTGGTGTCACACCATCAGTGAGTTTATGCTGTTTACAGGGTTCATCTATCACATATCAAAGATTTGCAGAGTCTTTAACAGGGTAAATCATTTCCTCTGAATGCAAATTTACAATCTGCTGTCTCCTTCCTTTTGTGTTGTACAATTCTGGACAGAAATGAAACAAAGAGGAAGAGATTATTTTGTACAACAAGCCAATGTAAAGCTGTTGCAACATGGTGGGTGTAAAATATTACCAAAAAAAAAAAAAAAAAAAAAAAAAGCACTAGTTTCTTAACAGGATGAGGCACTCGAAGGTGAATATAACTTGTGGTACTGTTGCTTACCCTGACTTTGGCTTCTTGAGGCTGCCGCTAGCACCAGCAGGCAGCATTTGTCCCAAGCTGCTGTGAAAGCTTGAGGCATCTACCTCGATCTCATCCTCATCCCGAAGAGCATCCTCCAGAGCTGCCGCCAGCTTTGGGGCGATAACTGGCTCCTGGTACTCTTTAGAGGTCCGTGCAGGAATGTCCATATCCAGCATTATGATGTTCTCAGCCTAGAACAATGACACAGAATCACATTCATCTGGGAAAATTCAGTTATATACAAATGTGGTCAGAAGATTTACACATGTTGGGAAGGTCTCTTAGAGACTTTTATAAACAGCTGCAGATCATCAGTTCAAACTCCTGTATGCAAGTATAAGTTTGCCAAGATCTTGAAGAAGACCAGCTGTTTAAGAACAACCCAGGAACCACCATGCCTCGGGCCTACTGTGAATTTGGAAACTACTAGAGCACCAGTGTGAAAATAATATGATGTTATAATGCATTGCATTATGTTTAATAACCAGTAAAGTATTTGCAATGAGCTCAATCTTAAACCTGTGCAGCAGTAACGTTAATCTTTTAAATACTGACAACTGCCATTGCTACGTCTCAGCCTAACTTTAAAAAGTTAGGCGTACTGGCACAAAAGTTAGGCGCACACAAATTTTATAATAATTTATATAATATAATGTGTTTTTCTGGATACACTGTGCTTTTTCAGCTTTCAAAGATTGATGACACCGTGTCAGAGCACTGGCTATGAATTTCAGACGGATCAGAAAAGTTAGCAATAGTTCTTTTCCTATTACAGCTACATCCACTTCTGTCGTGCCTAGGCTGCTCACTAGGGCTGGGTATCATCACTGATTTCTATAATCCATTCGATTCCGGTTTTCAAAGTCCCGATTCGATTCAACTTAGCCTCAGACAGTCAGTACTGATAAATGATCAGAATTATAATATTTCTGACTTCTTCAGAATTGTGAACATCACAGCAGATGCCTTTGTGTGAAAGTAACTGAGAATAAAACAGAAAAACATGAAGGAGATTTTCCTGGTCTGGCTTTTTATAGCAGATAACCTTAAAAATATTCTACAATGTTCTGCATATAAAGTTTAAATTTCTTCAGTATTGAACAACAGAAAAAATGGACTTTCTTGTCCGAGGTCATTTAAGTGAAAAAAAAGAAAAGAAAAAGACAGCAGCCGACAGCGCTGTAAACAACGGTAGACTGGTGGGTAATAAGCGAATGAATAATACAGATTGGAGACGGGAAACTGTTCTTGAAGTACAGAGAGAGAGAGAGAGAGAGAGCTAGCTGTGCATGAAGTGTGATTTTAATAGTCGTGGAAGAAAAACAGCAAAATTCATGACGACATTAATCAAATGTGAAGCGCAGTTTGCTGCTTCTTTTGCTGCTGGCTCGGTGGATTTTGGTTGGAGAGACAAAACCTGCAGCTCAGAATCAGCGCAAAAAGACGTAATCACAGCGCGTACCGGACGCATCAGGATCGCTGAGCTCCGACAGCGTGTACGTTTACGGGCCGTCGGGTGAGAAAGCCGAGAAAGACAAAGCTGATTCTGATGCGTCGGTCCGCTCTGTGTTTACGTCTTTGTGTGGAATCCGTGTACCTGCTCTCATTTGCTGTTTGGTTGTTGTCGAAATGGTTTTGTGAGCTTTAATCTGAGAATCTGGCGTTTCTGGCAAAACACAGTTATATTTAAAAGTCGATTCAGGATTTAATGAATTGATATCGCTTTATTCAAGCTACTCACCTCCCACTTCCACCTGCACTTTCAACTGGACCACGGCCAATCAGAGAGGTCCCGCCCCTTACTATCTCTGATTGGTTTAGTCCACGATAGGGGCAAAATGTGTGTCTGTTGTTGACCACAGGGAAGGTTGCAGATTTTTTTTTTGCTACAGTGCTAACAGTTGGTCGCACAGGTGCAAGCATGCATATATACACATACATACACATACATATAATTTTTTTTTTTTTTTTTAGTCGCACCACTGAAAAATTTGCACTCTAGAGCCCTGCTACACTGCAGCATTCGAGTTATCACATTCACAAGACCTTCAGAAAATTGGACGTTTGATTTAAGCTCGTTTGATGCACCTATGGTATCAATTTGTAAATCCTAGTTGACTTCTTCTCAACTATGAGCAGGAATCTAGATTAACTTTTTGCCACAGTTGCACTGATGCACTTTTCTTTAAGAGTACCAGCACAAAACTGACTTTACTCCTACACAGCACCCATGCTATCTTGCATAGATGGAGCGCTTTAGGTTGAAGTTGTAAAATGTTGCTTTTTTTGTTTCTTTTGTTTCTTTTTTTCAACCTCATCACTTAACCCCCATGTTTTACATGTTCACTATAACTTTACGTTAACTTAACAAAAAAGTTATCAATCGTTCTTTTCATCTTTTCTCATTACCCACAGCTACATCTACTTCTGTCGGGGCTAGGCTACTCACTAGAGCTGGGTATCATCACCGATTTCTATATTTGATTCAATTCCGATTCGAAAGGTCCTGATTTGATTCTATTCAATTTTGACCCAGACAATCAGAAATATTTTAATGCTGATCATTAATCAGCACTGACACGTGTGAGACTTCATCAGAGGTGTAAGAATCCCAGCAGATGCCTTTGTGTCAAAGTAATTGAGGATAAAACTCAGAAAAACCTGAAGGAGATTTTCCTGGCCTGGCTTTTTAAATAAATAAATACAATTTTATTTATATAGCACCTTTCTAGACAGAATCACAAAGTTCTGCACATAAGATAACAAATAATAAAACTGTAAAACAGACAATATAAAACAGGCAGAAATTTAACCAAAAACAGTTTTAAAAAGGTGAGTTTTGAGTTGTTGTTTTTTTTAAAAAACAACTACCGAGTCCACAATTCTTAATGTATGAGGGAGAGAGTTCCACAGTCTTGGGGCCACAGTGGCAAAAGCTCTGTCACCCTTTGTTCTCATCTTAGTCTGTTTTATAGCAAGTAAGCCCTGATCAGATGATCTCAGGGACCTGCTAGGGACATAGGGCTGTAGCAGATCGGAGATGTAGGATGGTTCCAGTCTATGCAAGGCTCTAAATGTCAAGACCAGGATCTTAAAATGTACTCTCAATTCAACAGGAAGCCAGTGTAGCTGAAATAGCAGTGGTGTCACATGTGAATACTTTGAGGATTTTGTCAACAGCCTAGCTGCAGCGTTTTGCACAACCTGCAGACGATCCAGAGAACCTTTGCTTAGACACAAACAGACAGTTACAATAGTCCAAGCGTGAGGAAATAAATGCATGTATAGCTATCAGTTCAGGGCGAGATAAAAATGGGGCTTAACTTAGCCACATTTCTTAAATGATAAAAACAAGACCGAACCAGAGATTTCACATGCCGATCCAATGTGAGAGTCGAGTCAAAAGTGACACCTAAATTCCTGATAGAGGATTTAACATACACAGAAAGAGGACCAAGGGCTTTCACTATCTGGGATAAAGTCTGTCCGGAGCATATATGAGGACTTCAGTTTTCCCCTTCTTGAGTTGGAGGAAATTTACAGCCATCCAATGCTTGATGGAATCAGTCATTTAAAAGCTGAAGCTTAGATAAATCCTGGGGGCTTAAAAGAAATGTACAACTGAATATCATCAGCATAACAGTGATAAGAAATGTCCTCAAAAGAGCCCATTATATGCTGGAGGGGGAGAAGATATATTACAACCAATAAAGGCCCCAAAACCGAACCCAGAGGGACACCACAAAAGTAAGGGAGGTAGAGGATGACCTACAATCGGAGACCACCACAGAAAAAGATCTGTTATGTAGATATGAGGAGAACCACCCTAAGGCAGTACCCGATACACCAACCCAATGTTTAAGCCTTTCAAGGAGGATGTGGTGGTCAACAGTGTCAAAAGTCGATGTTAGGTCCAACATAAGTAGGACCGAGCATTTTCCTGCATCATTATTCATCAAAATGTCACTTGAGACCCTAGGAAGGGCTGTTTCTGCGGAGTGAGCTCTGCGAAAGCCGGATTGAAACTTATCGCAAATGTTATGTTTGTGAAAGTATCCAAAATGACAGGGCGTGATGAGGTGGAGAGACATAACAGGTGCTGAATGGAGAAAAGTTCATTCTTATGTTATTAATCTTTGCAAGAAGAAAAGAAAGAAAACTGTCACAGTCCTCATTAGATGAAATGGGAGCTATTGAAGGTTTACATTTCTATGCTATTGAACAGCTGAAATGAGGCTTTCTTGTCAGACGTCATTTTTGGGGGGGAAAAAAACAAAACAAAACAAAAAAAAAAATGCCTCCGACAGCGCTGTAAACAACGGTAGACTGGTGAAAAATAAGAAAATTAATGCAGATTTTAGACAAGAAACTGTTCTTGAAGTACATGGAGAGAGAGAGCGAGAGAAAGAGCTGTGCAGAAAGTGTGATTTTTATTGTGGTTGAAGCAAAGCAGTAAAAGTAAGAGAGAATTCATGAAGATGTTTATCAAAGGTGAAGTGTAGTTTTGATCTTCTTTTGATGCTGGTTCAATGAGTTTTGGTTAGAGAGAGACAAAACTTGCAGCATCAGAATCTAGCGCAAAAAAAGATGTAAACACAAAGCACGGACCCGGAGCATCAGAATCATTGAGCTGTCAGTTTTCATTTATATTTAAAAGTCGATTCAGGATTTAATGAATCGATATCGCTTCATTCACTACTACTACTCACCTCTATCCGCCTGCACTTTCAAACGTACACACGCTTACGGTAGGACTACAGGACTATCTGGACCATGGACAATCAGAGAGGTCTCGCCCCTGACTATCTCTGATTGGTTTAGACCTCGATATAGGCATAATGTGTGTCTGTTGTTGACCACACGGAAACTTTCAGAGACTTTTTGTATGGATGGTCGCACTGGTGCAACCTACGAGTTTTTTAGTTGCATCATTGAGAAATTAGGTTGCATATGCGACCAAATTGGTCGCACGCTAGAGCCCTGTAAGAGAGTGAGGTGAATTTCAACGCATTGTGCTCCCATGCACAACCTTTGTTGTCCCCATCAGCTTTCTACAGCTGAGGGAAAATACAGTTTTATATGCAGTGATAACTTAACTATAATAAGAACACTATAAAGGAGAGGGAGAAAAGCTTACTTTGTATCTCATGTCAGGCTTCAACATCATGGCCACACGGGCATGGTGACTGAGGGGCCTCCAGTAGCCGACTGCAGACCGAGGCCTGCTCATCATCTGATGGTCACTGAGAGAGAAAGAGAAAAGGAGTATTACAAAGCAGCATGGGAAATTTGCTTCTTGCTTTGGTGTTTTACAATAAATCAGTTGCCAGCACTGCCACTCTGCAGCACTATAATGAGCAACTGTGTGCACCATTTGCTAGAATTGCATGCCAAACAGCATCTATTGAAGGGACTTTTAGTTTCCCTTTCCTAATAAGGCACAGGTTCCACAGCTGGTTCTCCAACACTTGTCTGTTTTAGCTCTTTTCCAGTAGAACCTATTAGGGTCAGGTCGGCTCGGTTTTTAGGGTTTTCCATTAGGTGGCAGTACCTGGTACCAGGTACTTTTTTAGTACCTACTTGGCCGGAATTCCAAGCGATCTAAAGTGATCAGAAAACATGACGTCAAGACTGCATGCCACCGATTGGCTAGTAAGTGATGTCATTCGATAAGTCTCCTTCACGAGAATCAAAACTTCTACTTATGAATCCCTGCAATGAGGAAAATGGCTACACAAAAAACAACAGCGTGGTTCCAGACCGAGCAGCAAGTATATCACCGACTCAATGTGATCCTTTGTTGTGGTGTTTATAACGACCCCACGTACATTGGGTGGTACTTGATTGTAATGGACAACCAAAACAGAGTCGAGTAGGTAGTAGAGGAAAAGCACTATTTGTGAACCTATACAAAGAAAGGTAAATATAAGCTAGTCAAGCAGAAAACATTCTAAAAATGTTATGATTTGAGATGGAAAAACCCACTCTGAATATTCCCAGACTTACTCCTCAATACGTGTGATGGGCTTCATCTTCCATTCCTCAGGCTCCTCATCGAAGAAAGCCCTGTTGACTATTTTGTTTTTCTCCTCTAGAGGAATGAAGTTTTCAATAATCAGATGTCTGAAAGAAACACATGAACATTTAATAGACAGACAGGGAGACAGAGAGACAAAGAAAACTCAGACATGTTATTTAAAACAGGAAAGGTTGAAAGCATTTGAATGTAATGTATCTGTTCCTCATTAAATATTTCATTTCCATGCACTACAGTGAGAAAGAGTCTTAAAGCACAAGAAGCTCCACTAATTCGCTAGCAATCTTTTTACGGTTCCTCCTCGATCACATGACACACAGTCTTGATCAGAGATTTGTGTCAGGCCAACATTGATATGCAGACTTCATACTTGAGTTTGAGGTCCCTGGTGAGTTCGTTTTGGATCTGCTCCATCTCCTGGCGCTCGTTGATGTGTGCCTCTTGGAGATCTTGGATTTCTGCCTTCACTGACTGCAGCTTGGAAAACAGCTAGAGGAGAGAGAAAGAGAAAACTAGAGTGACCAGAAAAAGAGTGTTAGAGCATTCAGCCTTAAATGTTTTTGTTTAAAAGCCTGATTGTCATGAGGAATAATGAACAACCCAAATAGAACACCACAGACAATACCCGACTTAAAATAGCAGTTGACCTACTTACTTGCAAGAAACTTTATTACCCGACAAACCAAAAACACTGTACCTTCAACAGTGTCATTATGATGACAAGGTATGCCATCTTTGTCAATCTCAATATTAGATTCTGATTGTTTTATTTATTTATTTCTTATTTTTTGTTAAATGAAGGTTATGAAATTCAACATTTTTTTTACCAGCCAAATCCATATACATGTTGATATAGTTAGTTTGTTGCACATTCAGCACAATTATTTTCATATTAAACAAATTTTAATACTAGACAAAGATAGCCCGAGTAAATATGAAAGGTTTTGAAATGATTACATCATTTAAGTAAGACAAATATGCAAAAAAATCTAACTCAGGAAGGGGGCAAATACTTTCACAGCATTGTAAATGTTCAGTTCAATTGAGTCAGCTCACAATCACCTCAATGTGCTTATATTGTAATAAAAAAAATTCTATAAGGTTACTGAGATCTGGTAATAATGATGGGGAGGAAGAAGCCCTTTTAACAGGAAGAGAACTCTGGGGAAAACGAGGCTCAGAGATAGACGGCCATCAGCTGGAGATTAGGGTAATGGCTTTTGAAATGAAAGATATCATGTTTACACTGCAGGTTTACCTCATTCTACATAAAGTGCAGAGTTTGTTTCCAGCCAGTCTGGTTTATTAACGACTCTATACTCTGCAATGCCATCATTAATCTTTGGTAACAAAGCAAAACACTTTTCACTTGTTTTCACTTTCATTAATTTCCATTTCTATATTCATTTTAAATGTCAGGGGCTGATATTGTAAAATCATAGCCTTAAAAAAAAAGAAGAAAAAAAAAGTACTCTCAGAACTCAGTTCCTCTTTTTCTTTTGTGTCAACATGAAAACAAAAACTATTTTGACATTTGGGAATCAATTCAGAATTCTTCCATACCCATGTGAACCAAATTTGTTGATAATGCCTTGGGCAAATGTGACAACCATCCTCACCTTTTTCAGCTTCTTGGTTTTAATGTCAACTTCCTGTTGCAGAGAAGTGTAGGTCTCCTTAAGCTCCAGTGTCTCTTCATCACGACTTTCCATTTGCTGCTGCATCTCTCGCTCTCGCCGTTTCTGGACACACATAAACAAACTTGCATGTGTTCACAACTTTTAATGGGTTCTGTCTCTGAGGTCAAAGACAATTTACTGGCTGAAAGAGGTTTTCGTCTGGTACTAAATGGACAAAAATGTTCACTTTCAAAAATCAGTGCCTAGTCTGCTGAAGAAGTCTGAAATGCCTAACAAGGAATTTGATGAATTTGGAATCATAAGTACATGGGATAGAAAACTGCTAGCAGAGTAATGTTTTGGTAATATAGAAAGTATTACCCCTGTACTTGGCCTTGGTGCCAACCCCTTTACTATACCTGTTCAGCAATCTCCTGCCTCTTTTGCTCCAGCATTCTTTGCTGCTCATTGGTGTGATCCACAATGTTCTTCCCCCCTACTAGGAGCTTACTCTCCATCGCCTGGATGTAAATAAAAATTAGGAAAAGATCTCTTTAAGTCACACAAGGGATAAAAGAAAATGACTCCAAGCACAGGACCAGTACAACCTCAAAGAAGCTATGGTAACTTTTGTGAGTGTAATTTAAATAATTTTGAGCTTGAACGCTTCCTTTTGTTCAAAATTGCTTCAACAGATAAGTAGAAGTTCCCCACAGCACATAGGTGCTCATGTTTGATTTGACAGATTTTTGTGTTATTTTTAACACACTGGATACCCTTCTTTGTGTCTACATCCAGGGATCTTTTGTTTCTTAAGTGAATGTGTGAACCACTGCACTACGGAGCCACTGCTAGTTCTAAAAGGAAGAACACCTATGCCAGAGTCATTTTCATTGACTTTGTCTCAGCTTTTAACACGATCATTCCACAGCAGTTGGTGGAAAAGCTGATTCTATTAGGCGTGAACCCTGCAACCTCCAACTGGGTTTTCAGCTTCCTGACAAAGCGGCAACAGACAGTCAAGGTGGGCAGCCACACATCAAAGACTATCTTACCGAGTACAGGCTCTCCTCAGGGGGGTGTCCTGAGCCCGCTGTTGTTCAGTCTGCTCACACATGACACTAACCAAATTGTGAAGTTTGTAGATGACTCAACAGTGGTTGGCCTCATCACTGACATGAGTGATGAGTCCACTTATATAATGGACATGGAGCAGCTTGAAGTGTGGTGTAGATCTCATAATCCCACCATCAATGTTATAAAACAAAAGAGATGGTAATTGATTTCAGGAAGTCTGGCAGAGTTCACAGACCTCACCATAGATGGTGCTGCTGTGGAGAGGGCCAGCAGTGTTAAGTTTCTGGGTGTGCACCTAGAGTTAATACCACAGCAGTATAAATTGAAACAAAAAGAAAAAGCACAAAAGCGCCTCCACTCCCTCAGGAGACTCAGAAAAGCAGGACTCTCCACACTTCACCTCACAACTTTTTGCAGAGGCACCATTAAAAACATCCTGACACAAAGTTTTACATCTTGGTTTGGCAGCTGCAAGTCCAATGAAAAGCAACAACTCAATAGACTGCCAGGAGGATTGTTGGTGCCCCTCTCTCGTCTCTGGAAGAAATCTACAAACAGAGCTGCATACACTTAGCTATCTCCATCATCAGAGACTCCCACCACCCCTCTCATAGCCTGTTCTCCCTCCTGCTGTCTGGCAAGAGAGAGGAGCATCAGCTGCAGAACCACCAGGATGCTGGAAGGGTTCTTTGCACAAGCTGCAAGACTGACAAATGAACTGTGCCCCCTCCCCATCCATTCCGCTATTCACACAGCTATACTGTAAGATCTACAAGCGGACTTTGATAACCCCCATCTACACATGCATGCACACACGCATACAATATACAGCTCAAATACACACACACGACTTAATTTAATTACCCCCTTCTGTGAAAGGACTGCTGCTGCTACTGGAATTAGTGTGACTATTTAGACTTGAGTTTGTTTTAGAATTTAGATTTTGTTTTTTTATCCCCGTTTATTGTTATGATTTATTACTGCCTTTTTAAAAACATTTTATTGACTATTTCACCAGCTGATGAGTGTTTCATTTCAGCCTGGGTAACACCATACGAAATGACAAACTTCTTGAAACTCTTGGAACTTAAAAATCTGCTTACCTTAACTTTGGCTGCAAGCTTCTCTCCGGCCTCCCTCTCCTTCCGGAAGTCTTCCATTTTCCTCTCTTTCTCTTTAAGAAGCCGGGCTTTCTCCTCAGCTACCAGGCTGTGATCCTCCAGGATTGCCTTTCTCTCCTTTTCCAACTTCTCCTGCTGTTCTCTCCAGTAGTCCCCCTTGTCGTCTCCATCTTCCTCATCGTCCTCTGTCTCGCCACTTTCCAGACCCTCATCATCGCTCCCTTCCCCAGCTCTCCTCCTCAGCCTTCTCTTTTTCTTTCCTGAGCGTTTCTGCAGCTGCGCCTTCAGCCTGGCAATCTCCTCCTGAAACTCCCTGAGCAGGGCATCTTTGGGATCTTCATTGATACGTGGTTTGTTCTTGATATTTTTTGCCCTGTTTGAATAGCGCAGAGTTGTTAAGGTCTCCTCCACATTGTAGGATGCTGGGCCAATGTTGGCAACCATGACAGTGCGGGCATTGCCCCCTAGGGAGTCCTGCAGCAGACGTGTCAGCTTCGAGTCTCGGTAAGGGATGTGGCTGCTCCTGCCATCCACCAGAGCTGATATGACATTACCAAGAGCAGAAAGGGATAGATTTATCTTTGTGGCTTCTTTAAGCCTCTCCCCCTGAGCTCCAGTCTTGGTTTGCCTTTCACTGCCAGCTAAATCCACCAGGTTGAGTTTGCCAACTCTTATGTGGTTCTCTCCATCCACACCCAACTCACTGCACTCCACCGTGATGACAAAAATGGCGTGAGAGCGTGAGCTGTGCTCATTCATATTAGTGGCTCCAACTGATCGATTCTGGTTTCCCACATTCATGACATGCTCGATCTCTCGCACACTCTTGGTAACAAATGATGAAAGATCTTTAACATACACACCCGTGTCGGGCCTCTCCCTGAGCTCGAGACGACGTGACTGATCTTTTGAGAGCAAGTCTCTGATCTCCTCCTGGTAGATTTCTAAGTATGACGCTCTGACAAGGTACTGTTGGTTCTGTGAACGTGAAATGTGTGTGAAGATGTGCTCAAAGGAGTTTGGGATCACTCCTCTCTTCTCCGGATCATTTCTCACCCCTTCCATAGTGTAAGTCTTCCCTGTACCCGTCTGACCATAAGCAAAGATGGTCCCATTAAATCCCAGAAGAACAGACTCAACCAGGGGCCTGAAGGTTTCATCATACATTTCTAGCTGTTTGGAGTTCCAACCATAAACAGCATCAAATGTAAAGATTTTGGGCAGTTCGTTGCCCGAGGACTCCCTTGGGTTTCTCACAATAATTTGGCCCAGTTTGACATCAACAGACACCACACTCTCATACTTGGCGGCCCGTTCTTTCTCGTTCATAGGACGGCAACGGACCACCACCTTGACTGACTCCGAGCTCTTGCTCTTGGACATGGTGAGGAGCACCTGCCAATCCTTGCTGCTTGGCACCTTGTCTTCCTAAAGAGCAGCTTTAGTAACACTTCAGCAATAGATTGCCCAAATCTGACACTGCTGGGGTGAAAACAATCAGTGAATTACATCTCAGATCATGGTTAAAGCATCGCACAGGTTAAAGTGAAATTCTGCCACCGGATGGCACTGCTTACAAGCAGGTGTTTTGATTTAGGATAAGTACTAGTGCCTAACTTCTTTAAATTTTATGTGTTTTTAGATAGCCTCGCTTCTGCACGACTTTGTGGAAGATGATGGTTCCACTAGCTCACTGCACTACCTTGTGTTAGAAAGGGGTATTACAAAGAACTAAATACCAGTCCTAATTCAAACAGCTGGTGTCTCTTTATGACAACATATAGATGTTTTGGACACATGCTAATGACTGTTATTTCTTCAGTCTCTGTTAACAGGTTTAGTTGATTCGGGAAGGGTTAAAAGTATTTTTAACTACCTTTAAGGACAAAAAGAGAAACCCACTAGGTTAAGGTATCGGATAGGCAGCGAGACCGCTTACCTGACACATCTGAGCAGCCGTTCCCTTGCACATAAAACTAAGCTTCCTAAGACTTTTCCAGCTATCACCGTAAAATACCACAGCAACAGGCATAATCACACATTAAGCTAAATAGTTGTTTAAATGAATAACCGTTTTCCAATTCACATGCAAACTGAAAAAAACAATCGCACTGATACACTGTTCTGTCAGAGTACATAGCAATGACACTACTTTAAATTGGCTAACTGGATTTCAGCTAATTAGGTGAAGAAACCTCACCTTGGTTTAAAGTTGGAATGTCAGATAATTAAATGACAGCCTTTAGAAAGAAATTTGATAAATGGTCAATTTTACGATGGCAGGTTAGTAAACGTTACCAGTTGATTAGTCAAACTAACGGATCAGCTTTCTAGCGTTAGCTCATTTTAAACACGTCCTGTAACGAGACCACAACACTGGGCTAGCAACTGCAAACAAACTGGTAACCTAAGCTACAAATCTGGTAGCACTGCCCGGCTAACACTCTTAGCAAATCTAAAGATTATATTCAAGATATCGCTACGCGAAATTTCGCAAAACCTACTAACACAACTTTACACCAGCCACACAGAAACGTAATTTAACACTAACCAGTGACAAACGTTAGCTTACGCAAAACTCCCACTGCGATGAAGTGAATCGTCGATGGCTAAATTCCTGCCGAACCAGCAGCGGTTCGATTTTGTTGCGCGTCTCCTCGTGAATTTACGGAACGGGTGCTGGAAGTGGCCAAAAATGATCACGTGAAGTCTGGCGTTTAACTTTGTAAGACCCAACCCATCAAAAAATAGCAAGAAAATTCAGATTTTTTTTTGGAACTAAGATGTCTATTAACCCTCATAACAAAATCCACGGGTTGGTTTTTTTTGCTATATCATGTTGTGTATGACATATTTAGTGTATCGCATTTGATACATCGGGTGTTTTTGGCACTTTTTGTAAACAATGTTTTTTTAGACAAAAATAATTTTGTCCATAACATTTTGAAATTATGGCAAGTATTGATCATGTTGATGAGATCTCAGGTCTCAGAAACTGATACTCATGTATCAAATATAATACAAAGGGCATTATAGGGTTAACAGCAGCTGGTATCCTGTATGTTACATTACCGCCCATTTCTAATTCCTTAGGCAGGAATTGTCATTTCATTCTTTGAAAAAATTCAAAATCTTGTGTGCTCTGAGAGATGTCCTCTTAGCTGAATATAGCTATCAATGTCCAGAGATGCACTCTAGAAAAAAAAATATTTTTTTTTTGGTCCAAAAGTTTGCCATAGTGAGGTTGGATTGCAAAGCAAAGACAATTTAGTTGACTTTTTGTAAAAGAAAATATTCACTTTCAGTCTAAACACCTGGACAAACTACTTTTAGACATTTGCATCAATGCATCTCTTATAGGAAGGAGTTACATCCAAATGACTGAACTTCAGTCAGACAGCTAATGTTTGAAATTGGTGTTTTATTACAGAAGCATAATAATAATAATAGTCTTTAGGCTTCAAGCTCAGCACTCATTTCTCAAATAAAATGCACATAGAAATTGGGGTGTGACAATTAAGACTAACACCTAGTGTTTTTTTGTGTAAGGATTTTCCTCAGCTGTGTCTTTGTGTTTAGCATGTGTGCCATGACACTGCCTGCTCCAGCCCACCTACCACAGATCACTCACAGGACTACCCGGTCTCTGCAAGTTTCACAAAAGATCAAAACTTAAATCTAGAATTGAATTTCCCATTTTTGAGCAAGTAATCAAGGAAGTGATGAGAAATCCCCACCCCCTCAAAAAATTCAATCATCATTCAAATAAAAAAGAAAAAAAGAAAATGCAAAAAAATAAGGTGAGAGTTTAGCTATGGATGATTTTTAAGTTGCTCTTGGAGCTTGCTCCAGCAAAGCCCTCATGTCCAGTAGTGCATCCTTCATATTTTGGATCAGATGACGTGTGTTTAGTCTCTTGTGGGTGTTGGAAGTTGCCATCTCAATGATGAAGTGACTGTTATGTACACTGTAGCACAAACTGTATCCAGAGTTTTCATCAACCTGATGGACTCCCACAGAGCCGGTATTGGATGTCACCTTGTGAAGAGAAATTTAAGTGAGAACGTTGCTTTACAGACCTTTAGATAACATTGTGAGTCCCACCACAAAATATGTGAAATTAAATGTTAGAGATGCAACTAAAATGCACTACTACTTTAATTCAGTCATGTTAAAAGTGTCAGATGTTTAAGAGCTGCGATGACTTAAACATTTCTTCCAATTTAAATCTTTGTGTGAATGTGAAGAAATCTAGTCTTAAATAAAAAGGTTAATTTTTAATACAACATCAAGAATCGGGCAGAAAAATGATCGCTCTCATGGACATGAGAATACTTGCACCCTGCAGCCATCCACAGTTGTTTGTGGGTCTTTCTACTGTATGAAGTCACTGTTGGGTTTTATGGATGTCTTCCACTCCAAACTGACTTCTATATATTATGTTCAATATCAGAGTTTAAAAGAAATGTAAACTATACAATTTTACAAAGGGTCTTCTTTAATGATGATTTCTTCCACTTTAGTATACTTCCACTGGTTGAGTATTTTTTAATGAAATTTGAAGGAACATTTAAATAAATGTCCAATTTTGTTAATAACTAAAATATCTGTAGACACATACAACTGATGATTTTTTTTATAATTTTTACATTTTTTGGACATGACATAATGACCTGCAAGGACTTCTGCTGGGTAGCTATTTAATCACATGCATGTGTTAGTGAGAAATATCAGTTTTACCTATAAGCCCTTCACCAACATAAACAAAGCAACATTAATGTGTTTTTACCTGACTTGCGGCGAATTGGTAGTTAAGGATTTTTTTGTATGAGATGTCTCTGAAGATGTCAGGCATGGGGAGTTTATTCTCAACAGCTTGCAATCTGAGAGCAATGATATGGGCTACAATATCATGTCCTCCAATTACCTGTAAGAAAATAAAAATACTACATATTTAACCAACAACTCTTTGGGATACTATTACATGTCTGTCACACTCATATCTTTAATTAAAGATTAAAGACACAGGACCAAGTTATGCATTGCAACCCATAACCCAATTTAAAATAGGATCTTGGCCTAGTTCTCTATTATGTGTAGATGAGTGTGGTTTATACATAGAGTATACTTAAATGGTTTATAGGTCAATGTTAAGGGATGTTTTAAAAAAAAAAAAAAAAAGAAAAAAAAGGAGGGGGGGGGGGGGGTCAGGTACAAGGACAAGAATGAAAATAAGTGGTGGCTCCATCACCAACTACAGGTATTGCATGAACTTGTACACAGAAACACTTTTAACAGTAGTTAAATAGCCCACTATTGTTCTGATCTTGTCAGTAGCACTGTGAAGTACACACTTTGTAGTTCTATTAATGCAGTCACACTGTGTATTCATTTACAATTTTTTGAAGTGATGTGAATATTCAACATTATCTAACAATCAAACAAAAACGCTTCCTCGATCATGCCAGCTATATATTCATTCTCGTTAGATGAATATTTGCAGCAATCTCATTGAATTCAAATCTGAAAATCTACAAAATTACAATATGATTAAATAAGTTGATTAAATAGGTTTGAAAGGCTGAGAAGCTGCAGTCAACCATTACATCAACAAGGGCAATGCAAAGCATTGACAGGGGTGTGTAAAACACACTGCCTCTGGACTCTAGAGTACAAAGTGATTAATCACCCTTTTGAGTTCGCCAAGCCAGTCGTTGCCAGTGGTTCATGGTTGCCAGAAGAACGGCACTTGTGTGACTGCACTGTCCAAGTGTACAATTTGGTGGCGAGGGGTTGTTTTTCAGGAGTTGGACTTCCAGATAATAAATGTGCTTCTAAAAGAACGGTCAGAAATTCCCATAAACACACTCTTAAACCTTGTGGAAAGCTTTTGCAGCAGAGTTGAAGATGTTAAAGCTGCAAAAGGCTGGCAACATTATGTTAATAGATTAAGAATGGGATGTCACTCAAATTCAATGCGTGTGAAGGCAGGTGAGTAATATAGTATAGTTGCATCTACTCCATTTTCTAAGATTGATGGTAAGACCTGTCTAGTTTTCCCACCAAAGCAGTGGTGCACATCAGTACATTGGTATACCATGCTCCCACTATTCAACTGTGTAGGTACACAGGTCTTCTTTGCTTCTCTAGAGTTCTTTTTCGTTGTCAGATATTTTCACTGTCACACCTTTGAAGACTGATGGAATAGGTTATTATTATACTTTAACAAATTTTTATTTGATAGAGCAACATGCAAGAGTGAAAATTTAAACTAATTCAGAGTATATGGAGAGAACAGTTGCTGCCAGAAGATATAAACTCCACAAAACTGAAGAACTAAATGTTGTAAATGTTACTCACTGCCTTAATATTCTCTTTGTGTGTTTTTATGGCTTTTTCCAACAGATCAATCTTCTCCGTGTTCTGTGTAAAACAGAAAGATGAAGTCTGGTGAACTGCTGTACTCTGACCTAAACACAAACTGTGTCAAATACTGAGCTGAGAATGACAACACTGTTTTAACTGTACATCTGTAAGTATGAAATAAAGGTTTATATTATGGAGAAAAAAAACCCAACCAAAAAGCACGAGTATCAACAGTACTCCACTTTAGTGCTGTACACGCTCAAAGGTACAAACAACAACTGTCCCTGTGCAGATATTTATGAACCTGATTGTAAGAGTTGGATTTAATGTTACCCATCTTGCCAGACCTGCTTTTGAGGGTCATCAAAGGCCTTGACAAAGGCAGCTGAGACACTTGTCGTCGAAAGCAGTAGGGACACACGTCCACGCCTGAACATTCGCTGGCTGACAGCTTCATATGATGCACAGACCTGCTTATTCATCCTGTCAAGAGAAGGGAGAGAAAGATTTTCCATAAACTGCGTTGCAACAAAGTTCTAAAACTTACTGACTCATGAGAGAAATACTGGCTCTGCGATGTAGTAATTCCTCCTTCCTTTGGGCTAATGTAAGCATACTGGCTGAGATCACAGCAGTTTTTCCTCACTATAAATGCCAGAATTTTAAATACCATATGAAATACATTGGAGAGATTGGGATGCCCCACAAAGTGCTTATAAACTATGAACAAGCTAGACATCTCATGTCAGGGAGTGTTATTTCACATATCTCCATGTGTGAAACATTCTAGTAAAGCTATCTGTCTGTCAGATCTGACAACATTCTGCATACACATCTCATTCTCCATGAGGTTTCAGGATTTCACCTGTAGTAGGCCAGCTGTATGGCCATTTGGATGAAAGCATCAGGGCTCATGTTGTGGGCCTTCAGATAATTTTTCCCAAAGTGGTCAAAAACCATAACACTCAGATCAAAGTTTTGGATGTTTCTGTAGTTGGAGGAATGGAACAAACATTATACAGATGCAATAACAGACTGTGTCAAACACAAGTAACCATTGAATACACACAAATGCCATTTTGGTGCACAAGGCGAGATTATGGTTAGGCACTTTGTTGATACTTGACTTGTGGTAACAAACTAATAAAGGTCAGGGATATATTACACACTATTAATTCT